ATTTCTGCTATGTCATTCTTCATTTCCAGTGGTTGTTCTTCAATGTTTCTGTATCTTTACTCATGGTGTTGATCTCTTTACTCATGCTGTTGAGCTTCCTCAAGATCATGGCTCTGAACTCTACCTCTGATAACTCACTTAACTGAATTTCATTTATCTCATCTTCAGTAGAGTTCTCTTGTTTTTTCATTTGGAATTTGTTTCTTTGTTTCACCATTTTGGCTATCTCAGTGGGTTTTGGAGCCTGCCAAATTTTCCCTGTGGGTATTGGTGTTCTGCTGTTTGTGGCTCCCTCTACTGGGTTTGGATGAGTGTGGGAGGACCCACATTAAACACCACTGTTAAGTCTTACTTTTCTGGGTAGATTTGAAAGCCCAAGAAAGGTTCAATTATCTTCTAGCTTTTTGCCTGGAGGCTATCTCAGTTACTTGATGAGCCTTGGGTTGTAGCCCTCAGCTGAAGGAAAAACTCCCTCAGGTGTTCAGGGTAAGAGGATTTCCAGAGGGTGGGGCAGATGCTAGCTGTTAATGAGCCTCAGTTTACATTCCTCTGGCCCAGCTGGGTGGAGTTAAATTCCTGAGAGAGCCCTGGCCAGTTTGGCTCAGCGGTTAGAGCGTCGGCCTGTGGTCCGGAGAGCCCCGGGTTCGGTTCCCGCTAAGGGCACGTACTTCGGTTGCAGTTTGTCCCCGGCCCTGGTTGGTCGTGCGGGTGGCAGCCACTCGATGTGTCCCTTCACGTCGATGTTTCTCTCTCTCTCTCCTTCCTCTCTCTCCCTCCCACTCTATCTGTACAAAAAATGGAAAAATATCCTCGGGTGAGGATAAAAAAATAAAAAATAAAAATAAAAATAAATAAATTCCTGAGAGGGGCTGTTGCTTCTCCCCAGGGCTCTGGGAAGGGGCTCTTTGAGTGAGATGGCTACTGTCCTGTGAGGGTATGTTTCAGCAAAAACTCTCAGTGCCCTCCAAATCCTGAGTGTCTCCACACAGTTCCAGTCTAGTATGCCCTCCCTCTCCTAGAGCCCAAGGTGAGTGGCTCTAGCTAATTTAGTGCTCTGTCCCAGCCCTCTGCACTGTGGAGCCAGCTTGGGATTTTAACCCCAAGGGAGCTGCTCACAGCTGAAACAGCTGCTGTCCTTGGGCTCCCAGACCGCCCTCTTGCGCCTCTGCAGACCTACCAGGGTTGATTCGGTGTCCTTTTTCCTGTCCCTGGTTATATGGGTCCTCTCCAGCTGCTTTTCTGTTGCTTTTTCCCGACGATTTGTCTTTATTTTAGTTGTAATTTCAGTTTGGTCCTGAGAGATGGTCTGTGTAGCTTCCGTTCACTCCACTACCATTTTGGAATCTTCTCCCATTAATTTTTCTTACATTTTTGGCTCTTCATGGCCTCCAGCAGAAACTAACAGGTAATAGACCCTATTTATTTATTTTTTTTATTTTGTTAATCCTCACCTGAGGATATTTTCCCACTGACTTTTTTTAGAGAGAATGGAAGGAAGGGAGAAAGAGAAAGATTGATGTGAGAGAGACACATCAATTGGTTGCCTCCCCCACACACCCCAGCTGGGGCCAGGGATTGAACCTGCAATCCAGGTATGTGCCCTTGACTGGGAATTGAACCCGAGACCATTAGTGCACAGGCCCGATGCTCTGTCCACTGAGCCACACTGGCCAGGGCGAGACCCTATATAAATAGAATACAACACCCGTTGTTATTGTAAGTCCACATTTCTTAGCTCCATTTCCAAACCATAGATCATTGCCTGGCTCCAACAGAGGAGGGGAATTGAGACCAAGAGAAGGAGAGTCCTTTGCTGAGTGGAGGGACCCGTTTCTACCGGGTGGGAGGGGCTTCCTTACCCCTGTCAGTCCCCAAGTCATTCTGTTCCCCTGCCCCTTCCAGGTCCCAGTCGGCGGTTCAAGCGAGTTGTGGAGACCATCCAGGCACAGCTGCTGAGCACTCACGACCAGCCCTCCGTGCAGGCCCTGGCAGGTGGGAGGCAGGGGGGCAGGGCTATCTCGTCTTTTATCCTGTGGGGTGGAGGGGAGGCTTTCTGGTGACCAAGTGCCATAGCACAGCTGTGGAGAAGCAAGGCCCGCCTGCCGTTGCATTCAGGTCTCACCTGCAGAGGAGGGAGCAGGATCCCTTTCAAGGACTGGGCCTTACCTGGGAGCCGTGCTCTATGCTCCAGGGGTGGAGCTTCCTAGACATTGGCCTTGTTGTCAGGGAGTGGAATTCCCTAGCAACCAGAGATAACCAGAATTTCTTTTTTTTTTTTTTTATCCTCACCTGAGGACATTTTTCTATTTTTTGTTCAGGTAGAGTGGGAGGGGGAGAGAGGAAGAGAGAGAGAAACATCGATGTGAAAGGGACACATCGAGTGGCTGCCACCCGCACGACCAACCAGGGCCGGGGACAAACTGCAACCGAGGTACATGCCCTTAGCGGGAACCGAACCCGGGTCTCTCGGGACCGCAGGCCGACGCTCTAACCGCTGAGCCAAACCGGCCAGGGCGATAACCAGAATTTCTAAGTGAAGAGAGCCCTGTTCAGCCCTACTCCTGAGATAGGGTGGGAATGGGGGTCCCATAGGTCCTAGGGAGAAACAGAGCAGGCAAATAGGACCCCAGCCATGAGGGCAGATGCCTGGATGACCTTGTCACCACAGAAGGCCAAATCCAAGGGTCAAGTCTGCTTGAGGGTGGTGGTTCCAGACTGGATGGCCCATTTTGCCAAGGTTAGAAACAGCAGGGTTAATATCAAGGTGTCTGCAGGGCCAGGCCACGCTCCCTTCCAGAGCTGGGGCATGGGGGTATCCGGTTCTGCCTTTTCAGAGGCCGCAGACCTGAACTTCTATGCTCATCGCCCATCTTCCCAGCTGGTGACATGGCACCTCCTAGAATGTCACATTTTCTTGTGATGCTGACCTCACCTGGGAGAGGTCTGTAAGGACCCACCCAGATAATCCAAGTAATCTGGCTACTTCTGGGCTTTGACCTTAGTCACAGCTGCAAGTTCCTTTATGCCTTGTGTTGTAACAGTCCCAGTCGCAGCAGGAGGGGGACATCTTTGGGTGGGGGGACATCTGGCCACATCTGGAGACCTTTCCGCTGGTCTCAATTTGAGGGAAAGGGGTGTTACATCTTATGGGTGGAGGCCAGGGATGCTGTGAAACATCCCAGGGGGCACAGGATGCCCCCACAACAAGGCATCCCCTGACCCTAAGTATCACTAGTGGGGAGTGGAGAAAGCCCGCTCCACCCGTCTCCACTGGGCCTGGTTGCTCGGGGAAACCAGAATTCCAGTTGGGCTTTCTGAGCCCTTCTAGACCTGGCTGCCGAGGAAAGCTGGCCTTAGCAGTCAGGGTTCTCAAAAGGGCACACCCTCCGGGAGGAAGGACCAACAGACATCTGGGACCTTAGCCACAAGTCTTTATTTTTTTTCAATTTGTTTTTATTGATTTTTTTGAGAGAGAGAGAGAGAGAGAGAGGGAGAGACAGAAACATCGATGTGAGAGAGAAACATGGATCAGCTGCCTCCTGCACACCCCCTCCTGGGGGTCAAGCCTGCAACCTGGGCACATGCCCTGACCTGAAATCAAACCGAGACCTCTCAGCCCATGGGACTATGCTCAATCCACTGAGCCACACCGGCTGGGCAGCCATAAGTCTTATAAAGGGGAATGGGGCAGAGGGTGATGGGCAGAGGGTGATGTCCAGCCCACCTAACGGGAAGAGCATATTGGTTGCTATGACAACAAGGACTCCAGCAATCAGTGGCTCTTATGGGGGCTGGTCCCTATGAGGGGACCTCAGGTACTGTTGTGGGCCCTATAGAAATTGCTAGATGAACACTGGCAACCGCAGTCCCCTAGTGTAGGGAAGTGTGGCCCCATAAAGAGGCCACAGGGATGCTTGGGAGGATCCAAGACCCACCGCCTGCCAACAACCTGTTGTGGGGCTCCAGGCCCCATGGCCAAGGAGCAGTCCCCCTAAAAATGAGGGCAGTGGAAGGGAAGGGGGGACTCTCTGGCTGTGACCTGGGATACTCAAATCTTACCTGTTGCCACAGCCACTGTCCCTTAGCAAACAGTGTTGTAACCAATCTCTGAGAATGTCTCTTCTAGTCAGGACCTGGCCCCACCTACACAAACTTGGCCTGGCTGGCAAAGTGACAAGGGTCGGAGGGGGCCTAGGATGCACGACCTGTTCCAGGCCTGGTTGCTGGCTTATGTGCCCCTGACAAGCATGGTGGGGGCTTGGGCCTCAGCACAATTCCCTGGCGGCCTTGGGGTTACTGAGAACAGTGGACAGCACGGACTAGTGGACAGCAGGAACCTCCACACTGGCTCGGTAGCCCCGGAGCCCATGCCAAACCGCTTCCTCCCTCGACAGATGAGAAGAATGGGGCCCAGACCCGGCCTGCCAGCACCCCACCCCGAAGCCTGCAGCCCCCACCTGGCCGTCCAGACCCGGAGCTGACCAGCTCTCCCCGCCGAGGCCCCCCCAAGGACAAGAAGCTCCTGGCCACCAATGGGACCCCTCTGCCCTGACCCCAGGGGGCCGGGGAAGGAGGGGAGCCCCCTCCACCCCCCTTCCCTGCCCCCCAACTGTGAATCTGTAAATAAGGCCCAAGGAGTACATAGGGAGGGGGAGACACAACAGACCTGGCCTTGCCCTGCAGGGATGGGGCTCGAGGGGCCGTGCCCAACTTGGGGGGGGGTTCTGGGAGGGACTGGGGTGGGAGCTGTTTCTATTTTATTTATTGATTAATTTATTATTTTATTTATTGATCAATCTTTCTGTGGGATGGGGTGGGGGAGGGGCGGGGGCTGGTTGGGGTGGCTTAGCAGATCCGGACAGACAGGGCCATCTGTCCTTGCGTCATCTCCAACTCCCCCTTCCTGGACCCCCCTCGGCCCCTCCCCTGCCCCACGACCTTCTGTACGGATTTGCTCTCCGGAAGGAATTCTGGTTTCGCGTGATCCTGCCTGCGTCCGTGTCTCTGATTCCGCCCGGCGGCAAAAGAAGAACAATAATAAATAGCCTTGATCAGGGACTGGCTGACTCGCCTTGGCCTCTCGCTTCCCCCGGTGGCCCTGATGGTGGGGGCGGGGCCCGACGCAGGGACAGAAGGGCACAGAGATGCCAGCCCACCGGTCGCTCACAGCCCCTCCACGCGTGGACACCACGGGGCTCCAGGAGGGGCAGCGCTGGCCACGTTCTTTCAAGTTCACCCCCAGGTTCGTCCCTGAAGGTTCCTCCCAGCGTTTTATGTTGGGGAGGCCTCCGGGAATCGGCCTCGCTTTCCTCTGCTAGTGAGGGCGAAGCCTGGGTCAGAGCGCCTGGGCCGGCTGGGGCTTCAGGGAGATGGGGGAGTCCAAGTCTGGCTGCGGGCCCAGGCTGGGGCCAGGCTGGAGACACAGGGTGCAGCCCTCCAGGCAGGAGAAGTCCACGGCCAGGAGGCCAAAGAGCGTGAAGAGCAGCATGGCGACCGTCCACTCGCAGACGGCCGAGGCGGAGCGCAGCAGGCTGGTGTGGAGGATGACCACTGTACACCAAGGTCAAGGGCACACTGCCGCGGGGAGGGTCCTGGCGCCCGCCGGGGCCCTGTGACTGTGGGCATGCCGGGGCCCCTCCTGGGACATGCTCACTCTGCCCTGACTGGCAGGACCCCTCTGGCTGGTCACCCTCCTCGATGGCTCCGGAAACCCTCAAAGAGATGCCCTCCAATCCTGTCTGTAACTCAGTTTCCCAAGTATTTTCCCCTGCACGTTCCTCCTGTTCGTGTGGCATTCCTAATATTCTGGAACAAGGTTCCTATCCTGCCAGCCTCCCCTGACCCTGTGAAGGCTCCACTGTCCCCCACTGGCCCAGCCAGACAACCAGGCACATTGCTTCTACTTCCAAACATGCAGTTGCCTAAAGATACACCCCCCCCGCCCAGCCCCACACCAGCCTCAGGCCCACAGGCTCCTGCTCACCACCCCCAAAAATATCTCCCTTTTTCTGGGTGCCCCCACCTCCATGAGAGCCCCATCATTCACTCAGGTGCCACAATCACCCTCGCCACCTCACTCATGCCCATGGCCACCTGGTCACCCCAAGTCTCGTCTGATCTGCCTTCTCTCTTTCTGGCCTTGCATTTCTGCGGGGCTGCTCCCCAGAACCCACTCAGCTCCTTAAAACTTTCCTACCCGCCGGATGGACACGTACGCCAAGCTCCAGCCTAGGAGAGAGCTAGAACCCTCCTCACTAGAACACTCTTGCTCCTCTCAGCCAAGCTAGCTCCAACTCGCTCCCCCGAGATCAGATCAGACATGATTTCATTCATTCAAGGATTTTTCAGGCAGTCCATAGTCCAACACCATCCAAGCCCCATGGATCTTCGAGCGAAAGAGACATGTGAGTACCCAAAGAAGCCGCTAGACCCTACAAGATCACAAGTGTTCCATGGCTCCCTATTGTCCCAAGGCAGAAGCCCAAGCCTCTAACCCCTCACCTTAGCCCTGGAGATCATCTGGGGGCACTGCCAGCGACATCCTCCCCTCCCCCAAGCCAGTTTTCTACCCTCCACATGCACATACCTGCAGTGTCCCCAAACCTCCCAACCCAGGCCCAAAGCAGCTGGTCCTGCAGGGCCAGCTCTGCAACCCATCTTTGCAGTTGTCCAGCCTGTAACACACTCAGCTGGCCGTCTTTATGGTTCATCCCCCTCCCCTGCAGCTAAGGCACCTCTGAGCCCCACAGAATGAGGATTCTGCAACCAAATGGGTTATGAGCCAAGTAGGGACTTTAGAAGGGCTGGGCTGGATTTCAGCAGAGGAGGGAGGCTGGTCTGCAGCTGGAGTAGCCTTCCCCACCTACTCTGTGCACATCAGGTTGCTGCTCTGGAAGATGAACAGATTGACCTAAAGCGGCCAGCACGGGACCTCAGCTGGGTTCCCTCCACTTTGGAAATGCCAGCGTCCTCTCGGCCTCCCTTCCGTCATCCTCCCCACAGAAGCTGGAAGTCCCCGAGACTGGGCCTGTAGCCCCTCCTCTCTCTCAGAGCTCTCTCTGTAGCAGTGATAATCGTCAGTATGATAAAAACAGCTCCGTTTCCAGACAAGGAAACGGAGGCCAGAGAGTGATTTGACTCAGAGAGGCATCCTGGACTGGGTTCTGGGGTGACTCAGAGGTGAGTTGGAATCTCGGTGCTACGCAGCAGTGTGCTGGTAAACATTTAACAACCAGCTGGGATCAGTAGCATCTGCCACTTCCTGTGGTGTCAACACTCCCGCCATGGCCATTTCAAGCTGCTAACATAGCATTGCCCAGTGTGGAGCTGGGAAGAGATACACACAGACTGCCCTTGGGAGCCCTGCGAGGGGCCTGACGCCCACCACTAACTCCACCACTGAACTACATGGCGATTCTTGGCCGAGAGCCTTCTCCTGACTGAACCTCAGTTTCCAGTCTTAGCCAGCATGATGCCTGGCACAGAGCAAATGACTGGTTTAGCATCCTCCCAATACATTGGTCACTCACTAGGTACCGGGCACCAATCTAAGCACCTCACATGTGTCATCTTCGTTCTGTACAACCCCGGGTTGGCTTTGTTCTGATCTACATTTAATAGATGAGGAAACCGAGGCCACGAGAAGCTAAAACACCAGCGTCCCCAGCTAGTCTATGGACGAGGTGGGATTCTAACCCAGGCAGCGTGGGCCGGGTCAGCACTGTCTGACGACTGTCCTATAATGAGGCTGAGAAAGGAGGGGGCATTCACACTAGCACAGAGCAGAGCCCCCCAATGAAGGACCACCCCAAGCCCTGCCCCATAAGGATACTGGTCACCATGAGGATGGTGCACAAGCTGCAGAGGACAAAGCGGAGTGGCCCGATCCAGGGGGCCCCGGGCTGGGGCAGATTCTTCATCCTCCAAGAGAGAAGGAGCTGCAGCCAGAAGTAGACATTGCCCACAAAGAGGGCGAAGAAGGCCCCCGTCAGGTGTGTGGCCTGCTGGTTCTTTTGCTAGAAGAAGGAACGAGAGAGTTGAGGGGAAGAACTGTGGAGAGGCCAGGACCAACCCCTGGATAGTGATTGACAAGTGCATTGGCTCTTGTCAGCTCTGTGAGGGCAGGCATTTCAATCTGTTGTTCATGCCCAACCATTGCGGCTCAGTGGATTGCACCAAGACGTCACCAGTTCAATTCACAGTTGGGGCACATGCCTGGGTTGTGCGCTTGCTCCTTAGTTGGTGGTGTACAGGAGGCAGCTGATCAATAGTTCTCTCTCATCGATGTTTCTCTCTCTAAAAAAAAAAAAGAACAATAAAGCCCGGCCAGTGTGGCTTCAGTGGTTGAGCGTTGACTCAGGCATCAAGAGGTCGCCAGTTCGATTCCCGGTCAGGGCATATGCCCAGGTTGGGCCAAATCCCCAGAGGGGGGCATGCAGGAGGCAGCCAATTGATGTTCTCTCTCATCAATGTTTCTATCTCTCTCTGCCTCTCCCTTCCTCTCTCTCTAAAATCAATAAAGAAAAAAAAAATATTTAAAAACATAAATAAATAAATCTGTTGTTCACTGTGGGGCATCAATCCCTAAAACAATGCCTGGCACATAGTGGACTCTCATAAATATTGGTGCAATAGATCTTTCATTGTCATCCAGGTGTGAGAGAGCAGATATTGCTGCCAACGGGATAAATTGGTTCTTGGCAAAAGATTCTTTTTTTTTTTTTAGAGCAGGAGGGAGAGTGGGAGGAAGAGAGAGAGAGAAACATCAATGTGAGAGAGAGACATCGAGTGGCTGCCACCCATACGACCCCAACTGGGCTGGGGACAAACTGCAACTGAGGTACGTGCCCTTAGCAGGAACCGAACCCGGGACTCTCTGGTCTGCAGGCCGATGCTCTAACCGCTGAGCCAAACCAGCCAGAGCTTTTTTAAAAAACATATTTAAAAAAAATTTTTTTCCCCGGCTGGTGTGGCTTAGAGGTTGAGCATCAACCCATGCACCAAGAGGTTGCAGGTTCAATTACCGGTCAAAGCACATGCCCAGATTGTGGGCCAAATCCCCAGTGGGGGGCATGAAGGAGGCGGCCAATCGATGCTCTCTCTCATCGATGTTTCTATCTCTGTCTCCCTCTCTCTTCCTCTCTTTCTAAAAATCAATAAAGGAAAAAAAAAATTTTTTTTCTTTATTGATTTTTAGAAAGAGAGGAAGAGAGAGGGAAAGAGAGATAGAAACATCGATGAGAGAGAACATCGATTGGCCGCCTCCAGTATGCCCCCCTACTAGGAATTTGGCCCACAACCTGGGTATGTGCCCTGACCAGGAATCGAACCAGTGACCTCTTGGTGCATAGGATGACGCTCAACCACTGAGCCACACTGGCTGGGCTATTATGGTATTATTTTATTGTTGTTAATCCTCACCCAAGGATATTTTTTCCATTGGTTTTTGGAGAGAGTGGAAGGGAGGTGGGGGAGAAAAAGGAAGAGAGAAACATCAATGTGAGAGAAACACATCAATTGGTTGCCTCCTGCACGTGCCCCAACCAGGGCTGGGGATCGAAACTGCAACCCAGGTACACACCCTTGACCAGGAATCAAACCTGTGACCCTTCAGTTTTCGGGTTGACACTCTAACCATCGAACCACACCAGCCAGGGCTTATGGTAATATTTTAAAAGATTAAAAATTTCATGGGGGAAAATGTCTAACAAAGGCCCCTTAGGGGAGTGACGTCATAGTTAAAGAAAAAGAAAGGTTGAGCACAGAAATAAGGGAATGAGTGGCTGAATGGATACGCAGATATAATGGGGGATATTTGCTGACAGATTGGAGGGAGCCTCTGGTCTGAACACCAGGGGGTTTCGCAGCCTCTGCTCTTTTTCGCCAGAAGAGGTTGGAATCAGAGACATCATTATAAAATGAAATGACAGCATAAAATAAATCAGTGAGATTTCTCCTATCATGTGGGTGCATTTCTTTATTCTGCTAAGAGCTACTGAGTCTCCTGGTTAAGAATGTGGGTTCTAGAGTCTATGAATCTGGGTTCATATCCCACCACGGTGGACCAGAGGATGAAAAAAAACAACCTTTCTGTGGGTTTTAGTTTAGGAAGGACCCACCTAGAGTTCTTGTGCAGATGGATAACAACAGGGCAGACTTGCCCTGGCCTGTATGGCTCAGCAGCTAGAGCATCGGCCCTCGGACCAATGAGTTACCGGTTCAATTCCAGCCAAAGGGACATACCTCGGTTGCGATTCGTCCCAGGCCCTGGTTGGGGTCGTGCGGGAGGCGGCCACTCAATGTGCCCCTTTCACATCGATGTTTCTCTCGCTCTCTTTCTTCCACTCTCTCCCTTCCACTCTGCCTGGACAAAAATGGAAAAGGGTCCTCCGGTGACGATAAAAAATATAGATGGATATAGATATAGATATAGATATGGATATAGATATAGATATAGACATAGACATAGACATAGACATAGACATAGACATAGATATAGATATAGATAGATAGATGATATAGATAGAGATAGAGATAGAGATAGAGATAGAGATAGAGATAGAGATAGAGATAGAGATAGAGATAGAGATATAGAGATATATATGGCAGACTCAACCAATGGGTCAAACATTAAGAATGAGTGAAATCAGTCATTTCATCATTAATGGGGTGGAGGATGACAGGGAATTACCCCAACCTCCTAGGGTGCAACGAAATAATTTTAAAGAGCTTCCACGCAGCTCTCCACACCACCATGGCCCGAGAGCCACAGAGAAATACAAGTCCCAGGAGGCTCTGCGGGGTCGAGCCCACAAAGAAGCCGCCGGCGGCCCCGGAGGGTCCTGGGAGTTGTAGTCCCAGACTCTGGCTAGCCGGCCCGGGGGTCTGGGCTCCCCAAGCCCACTCTCTCTCACCTGGAAATTGCCCACCACGGAGGTGCCCAGGGCACAGAGGAGCCCCGACCACAGGACCAGCTGGTTAAACCACTTTCTGACGCCCCAGTCCCGGAACTGGTGGTAACGGAGAATGCAGATCCAGGCGGCTGGGAAGAGAAGGAAGTGGGCGAGAGGCCCAGGCAGGACCCCGGGTCAGGGCAGCGTAGTGGGGCGTGGGAGAATCTGGGGATCCAGGGGTGGGGGACAAATCCCGGACCTAAGGGAAGAGGCGCTGGGGCCGGACCTCCTGGGTCTGAGGGGGGAGGGGCTGGGGGTCTGGTTTCCAGGGTGTGGGAGAGGAGAACTGGGGGTCTGGGGTCTGATCTCCAGGGTGAGGGAGAGGAGGAGCTGGGGGTCTGGGGTTCTGATCTCCAGGGTGTGGGGGAGGAGGGGCTGGGGTCCAGTCACCCATAGCAGCTCCCAGGTTTAGCAGCTGGCTGAAGATGCAGCTCTGAGGGGGGTACGATCCACAGAGACTGGAAGATAAGGGATCATCTTGTGGCTCCTAGAGCAGAGACCCCCATTCCTTCTTCGGCATCCTCCAAGGGCATAGCTACCTGATATAGGGGATGCCTTCTGTGAGGTTCACAGTCCTGTTGGCCACCGCAATCGCAAAGCTGAAGGAGGGGAAGACATAGATGAGCAGCTGCTGGCAAAACAACTTCGCTTTCTCATACCCACAGACCCAGCTCCCCCCCTCAGACCCAGGAGTCCAGGCCCCCAGCCCCCAGGCACCATCCTGCCCCTAACACTCACACAGTCCAGATGCTAGTGGTAGCCCAGAGGGCCAGGAAGGCAGGCAGCAGGGACAGGTAGCCCCACATGCCAGGTCCTGCAGAGGAAGGGGTTAGAGCCACTAATGAATCAGTCTCTCTCTCTGTGTGTGTCAGGTGAGGAACCAGCCCTCAGGGTCCAGATGTATCAGATCATGGCTGCCTGCCTCGGAGACCCCCCTTGGCTCCCAGGCAGAAGGATGGGCAGATGGGGGACACACAGGAGGAGGGCGGGGAGTGCGGGAGGGGGTTGGTGACAGGGGTGATCTGGTCACGTGAGCCAGCTCTCAGCCTGGGGCAATTTCCCTATCTCTTTCCTTTTTCAAGAACATGTTTTAATTGATTTTTTTCAAGGGAGAGGGAAAGGGAGAGTGAGAAACATCAATCAGTTGGTTCCCACATCCTCCCCCTGCCCCCCCCAACGGGTATCAAACCCGAAATTTGGGCATGTGCCCTGATTAGGAACAGAACCAGCATCCAACATGTTCAACCAACTGAGCCACACCGTCCAGGGCTCCTTATCTTTCAAATTTCCTTTTACCCTCATCTTGACGTTTCTCCCAGCCGCCCTCCCCTCACCCACCTCCAGAGTCTCCCCCTGCCCACCTCTGGGCTCCTCCTGGATGCTCACCTGCCGGTCTCTCAGGGCTGGGACTGCAGGACTAGGGCTGCCTGAGCGGTTCAGGGGAGAAGGGCTGGGACGTGGGGGTGGGGCTTGGGAGGGTCACTGCTTTCTGAAGAGCCAAAGTCCACGCTGGGACACCTGTAGGATGGTGAACATTAGGACAAGAGTCTGGCTGCCACTTTGGAGGGGACTCACCCCTAAACTGCCACTTCCGGTCTGCTCAGAACCGGGCAGCACCTTAACACGAGGGAGCCCCCAACTTCCTTCTTCTCACTTATAGGTTCAACACGCCAACTCCCAGCCCTTGTCCTCCCCCGGAGCCAGAAATCGGAGCCACCGGCTCTCTCCAGCCTTCCCCTCTGGGAGACCCAGAAATCCAGGCCCCCAGGCTCTTCAACAAATGCATATTCTTTTCTGCCTCCCCAGGAGTCCAACTTCCCAGCTCTTACCTCTGCGGGGACCCAGATTCCAGGTCCAAAGGTCCACCTCCTTTCTGAGGGCAGTGTCTGTCGGCAGGCTGCAGGGTGTGGCCCCTGTGACCCTGCCTCCTCCCACCAGCTTGCAGTCCTTGCTCCCTTCTCTCCCTTCCTCTACTGGGTCTGAGTTCCCCAGCCAGCAGAGCGTGGGTGGGAGGGAGGGAGACCTCAGTGATGACATCTCCATCTGAAAGCCTTCCCAGAAAGTAACCGCCTTCCTCCACCAGGACCCTTTCTGCTCTGCACAAGGCAGCCCCCACTTTTCTGCTTCTTTCCCCACCCCACTTGGGCATTTGGGCTCCAGACTCCACCGGCTTCCCCAGGACCCAGGAGTCCAGGCCCCCAGCCCCTCCTCCCCCAGACCCAGGAGTCCAGGCCCCCAGCCCCTCCTCCCTCAGACCCAGGAGTCCAGGCCCCCAGCCCCTCCTCCCTCAGACCAGGAGTCCAGGCCCCCAGCCCCTCCTCCCTCAGACCAGGAGTCCAGGCCCCCAGCCCCTCCTCCCTCAGACCCAGGAGTCCAGGCCCCCAGCCCTCCTCCCTCAGACCCAGGAGTCCAGGCCCCCAGCCCCTCCTCCCTCAGACCAGGAGTCCAGGCCCCCAGCCCCTCCTCCCTCAGACCAGGAGTCCAGGCCCCCAGCCCCTCCTCCCTCAGACCCAGGAGTCCAGGCCCCCAGCCCCTCCTCCCTCAGACCCAGGAGTCCAGGCCCCCAGCCCCTCCTCCCTCAGACCCAGGAGTCCAGGCCCCCAGCCCCTCCTCCCTCAGACCAGGATTCCAGGCCCCCAGCCCCTCCTCCCTCGGACCCAGGAGTCCAGGCCACCAGCCCTCCTCCCTCGGACCCAGGAGTCCAGACCCGTAGCCCCTCTTGCCCTCAGCCCCTGCCTACAACCCAACTGCTCTCTGTGCTTATGGGTTTGAACACTCCGGACATTGTATGTAAAGCCAGGTATTGACACCCTTGGGTCCTCCAGGTGACGCTGAGTATTGCTCAGGAACCACCTGCAGGCCTAGAGGTTGCTCTGGTTTGTAGGTATCTGGACCTCACAGTCTTGCTATGTCATGAGGTTCTCCAGGAAGTACTGCCCTGGTGTCAGAAATACAAGGAATTTATTGGGAATGATGCCAGCGAAAGATAAAGGGAGAGGGCACAGGGATAGGCAGTGGACGTCTTCAGGCTGGGGAGAGGTTCAGCCGCCTGTACAAGGAGAGGGGGACATGAACCTCCGACTGTGGCTTAGCTCTGCAGAAGTCCACCCCGCGCAATGGGCAGATAGGTACTAAGATTTCCCATGTGCACATATCTGTAGAAACAGAAAGTAGGTTGGTGGCTGCCAGGGGCTGGGGGAAGCGCGTTGTGATTGCTTAATCACTTCCTTTGCTGGAGACAAAAATATTTTAAAACTAGATAGAGATGATAATCGCACAAGGATGTGACTGTACCATATAGATCACTAGAGCCTGGCCAGTGTGGCTCAGGGGGTTGAGCATGTCCCATGGATGGAGAGGTCCCAGTTCAATTCCCGGTCAGGGCACATGCCCCAGTTGTGGGCTCAACCTCAGGAGGGGGTATGCAGGAGGCAGCCAATCAATGTTCCTATCTCACTCTCTCTTCTTCACGCTCTGTAAAATCAATACTGAGCCACCCCGGGCCAGGCAATGAAAACATATTTAAAATAAATAAGTCCAGGCCACTAGATTATACACCTTCAAAGGGTTGACATGGTAAATTTTGTGTTATGTAAATCTAGTCTCAATTTTTTTTTCAAAAAAAGATTGCCTTCGGAGAAGTTCCCCATTGGGTGTAAACGGCCGTGCCTTAACAATACCACCACCACCACCCTTAGTCATTGGTTGGGAGCTGTCTGAAAAGAATGTGACCTCAAACCAAAAAAAAAGTAGTTGCAGATACTACAGTACCTGGAGGCTAGCAGCCAAATTCACTCTTCCTAAGTGACCAATTCTTTTCTGAAAGGAGCACCTCCATGGCTACCATACTTGTCCAATGTCACTCAGGGGAAGGGATTGTGGGGAAAGGGAGTTTCTCTTAGTCATTGAACAAGAAGTCAGCAGTCCTGGGACTTGCCAAGATAAAATTGCCAGATGTTCTTATAAGTTCTGGGAAGAGGCACAGTGCAAAAAAGGGACCTTGAAACTTATATTAGGGAGTATAAAACCCTTGAACCCTTACCAGGTGGGGCACTCAGATGAACTGAGTTGCCTGCTTGGGCTTTATGTTAAGTAATTTATTCTTAATACATTTGTTTGCTTTCCTTCCTTAATGAGTTTGCTTGCTTTATTTCAACACTGCTTTCTGTCAGTCGTCTGAATTCTTTCTCGCACGCATGACAAGAACTGAGGAAGGGAGAGCCCTCTCCGACTCGGTGGCTCTCATGTAACACATTCATCTGGGCACGTGTTCCTGCTTTTATGCATTCATCTGAAGAGTATTTCATCCACCTATCCACCCACCTGCCTCTCTATCCAGTCTTCATTTATTCAGATCACCCTCCAGTTCTCTAAGGCTCTATCCATCCATCGAACTATTTTCCCCTCCACCCACATTCTTTCATTCTTTTTTTTTTTTTTTTATCCTCACCCGAGGACATTTTTCCATTGTTTGTTCAGACAGAGTGGGAGGGAGAGAGAGGAAGAGAGAGAGAGAAACATTGACTTGAAAGGGACGGCCCTGGCCGGTTTGGCTCAGCGGTTAGAGCGTCCGCCTGCGGTCCAGAGAAAGGGACTGCCACCCCCACGACCAACCAGGGCCAGGGACAAACTGCAACCGAGGTACGTGCCCTTAGCGGGAACTGAACCCGGGTCTCTCTGGACCGCAGGCCAACGCTCTAACCGCTGAGCCAAACCAGCCAGGGCACATTCTTTCATTCTTTAATTCATTCTATCAGTTCCCTCTTCCCATGTACTCTGCAATCCATCAGTCAGTTCAACCATCCATTTTCCATTGAGCCAATCCACTTAATCACCCATCTGTATTGGCTTCCCGTGGCTTCTGTAACAAATTCCCACAAGCCTTGTGACTGAAAAACAATGGAAATGTGTTCCCCTCCAGTGCTGGCAGGCAGGATTCAACATCAGTTTTGCTGTGCTGAAATCAAGATGTTGGCAGGGCCGTGCTCCCTCTGGAGGCTCCAAGGGAGGGCACTTCCTGGCTGTTCCCGCTTCTGGCGGCTGCGGGCATGCCTCGGCTTGTGGCCGCATCCCTCCCGTTTTTCCTCATTCTCCTCTGTGTGGGTCTCTGGCGAATCGCCGTCTACCTCTCTCCCATAAGGTATATGTGATGGCCTGTTGGGCTCACTGGATTGATCCAGAATAAGGCCTTTCTTTCAAAGTCCTTCCTTTAACCACACCTTTTGCCATATAAAGTAATATTCGCAGGTCCCATGGATTGGGAGGTAAATATGTTTTTTTTGGGGGGGGTCATATTGCTCAGTCTACCACATCATCCAACTACACACACACACACACAACACACACACACACACACACACATACACACCTCTCACTCCCTCTCTCTGTCTCTCTGTCTGTGTTTCTCTGTCCCTCTGTCCATCCACCCAAATTCTGGAAGCTGATAACACACAGTTGAGCCCTCGAGAAATTTCGATCTCTGGAGGAAGCAACTCTGTAAGGAGAGAGTTACAAAGGCCAACATGGTCGAAATTCATTACATTCAGCAAAATAAGTAAGTGTATTGAGTTGAGGATGTCTTCTACTCATCACCCCTGTGTTCCCACCCTTACTGCCCCCACTGGGAGGAGAAAAGGAGGATGGGAAGAGAATGGCCCAAACAGTTTTCATTGTCCTTAAGTTTTCCGCCTCACCATCTCCCTTCTCACTCCCAATCCATGAACAGTAGATATAGAGATAGAGACAGAGATAGATATTAAATATAGATATAGATATATATTAAATATAGATATAGATATAGATAGATATTAGATATAGATATAGATATAGATATAGATATAGATATAGATATAGATATAGATAGATATTAAATATAGATAGATATAGATATAGATAGATATTAAATATAGATATAGATATAAATAGATATTAAATATAGATAGATATAGATATAGATCAATATTAAATATA